ACACGAATAATCTGAAACACTATATCATTTGGCAATTTTTGTCGGAGTTGAAAGTGCATTATTTGATGATTTTGTGTTAATTTGGCCCCAGCTGAGGTGCAGGAGATGAATTTGCATTCTGTGATCCCAACCTTAGCTTTAGCAGGAAGTGATCCAGGAGAATATTGAAGGCCAGTGGAAAGGCAACTTGTATAATCTCACACAAAAAGTATAACCTGCACAAGGAGAACTAAGAATTGGCTTATTTTAAAACAATTCTTGAAGTGCGAGGAAAAAAAAGAATTGGCTTATTAGAGATCTCAAATAGGAATGTCATGAAGTAACATTTTGCCTTCTCTTCTCCCTTTTCTAGCTCTATCGTCCGAGCTTTGTGCACCCAGGGGCTGCCACTGTCCCCACCATGTCGGCCGCATTTCCTGGAGCCTCTCTGTATCTTCCCATGGCCCAGTCTGTGGCTGTTGGGCCTTTAGGTTCCACAATCCCCATGGCTTATTATCCAGTCGGTCCCATCTATCCACCTGGCTCTACAGTGCTGGTGGAAGGAGGGTACGATGCAGGTGCCAGATTTGGAGCTGGGGCTACTGCTGGCAACATTCCTGTGAGTATGACCTCATCAGAAAAAACTCAGCCCTTGTGTGTATTTTAACTTTCTGAAATAACTTCATATTCATTCTCTCACCATTCTTGGATGGTAGTTACCAGTGTTGGTGCAACTACTGACATCCAGTACTCAGAAAGTGTTTGAGGGGCCAGGAGAACTGTGGCAAGTGAGTAACGTCTCACTGGGGACTGAGTGAACCTGATTCTTTTGTTTTCATGTCTATCAAGTTCTGCTTGCTGCTTTTCCAGTTTATTTTGGTACACTGAACTGGTCTGGTAATGCTCCTTATTCATTCCATAAGCATTATTCCATTTTTGCCATCAGCTTGGTGTTGTACTAGGAACCCTGATAATGAAAAAGTAGAATGTATAGTCTCTAGTAGGGAGCTTTTAGAAAGATAGTACCAATTTTAGTTATCATTTTCTCCTACTTAATTCCCCAGTGCATGCGATTTAGAGCCCAAATGGTCCTTGCTAAGACCATCTACTCAGTAACTACATGCTAGAGATGAGGTGAATATGTGTCATTAGAGAGCATTCCGTTATCCAGTAGTTTATTCAAAAGCTATGTAGGGGCTGGGCTTAGTAGCTCACACCTGTAATCCCAGCATTTTGGGAGGCCAAGGTGGGTGGATCACCTGAGGCCAGGAGTTTTGAGACCAGGCTGGCCAACATGGTGAAACCCGGACTCTACTAAAAATTAAAAAATAGCTGGCATGGTGGAGGGCACCTGTGATCCCAGCTACTCAGGAGGCTGAGGCAGGAGAATGGCTTAAACCCAGGAGGCGGAGGTTGCAGTGAGCTGTGATCACGCCAGTACACTCCAGCCTGGATAACAAAGTCAGACTCTGTCTCAAAAAAAAAAAAAAAAATTAGCTAGGCGTGGGGTGGTAGGCGCCTGTAATCCCAGCTACTTGAGAAGCTGAGGCAGGAGAATTGCTTGAACGTGGGAGGCAGAGGTTGTAGTGAGCCGAGATCCTGCCATTGCACCCCAGCCTGGATGACGAGAGTGAGACTCCCTCTTAAAAAAATAAAAATTAAAAAATTAAAAACTACGTAGGGACCCTGTGGAATTCTAACATGGACCTGGCACGCTGTCCCTGTTTTGGAAATGTGAGTAGGGCAGTGGTTCCCTACCCTCGAAATGTCTGTTGGTCGGGCCTGTTCATATTCACAAGGTAGTCCTGGGCTTCATCTTAGAGCTGGAACCCTTTGAATGAGGGGTAGGCTCCCTTTCCTGTTTTTATCTTTGGGTTCACAGAAAATACAGACCTACTTTAGAACTCAAATTGATAGCAGAACTAGCTCCTGAAAATGCAGTTAGCACATTGCCTTATCCTAACAGGCCTTTGCTTCCTGTGTGTCCCATTCCCTTATATTAGCCTCCCTGTGCCCATTCTATTATGTCCTTTCTTTTCAGCCTCCACCTCCTGGATGCCCTCCCAATGCTGCTCAGCTTGCAGTCATGCAGGGAGCCAACGTCCTCGTAACTCAGCGGAAGGGGAACTTCTTCATGGGTGGTTCAGATGGTGGCTACACCATCTGGTGAGGAACCAAGGCCACCTTTGTGCCGGGAAAGACATCATATACCTTCAGCACTTCTCACAATGTAACTGCTTTAGTCATATTAACCTGAAGTTGCAGTTTAGACACATGTTGTTGGGGTGTCTTTCTGGTGCCCAAACTTTCAGGCACTTTTCAAATTTAATAAGGAACCATGTAATGGTAGCAGTACCTCCCTAAAGCATTTTGAGGTAGGGGAGGTATCCATTCATAAAATGAATGTGGGTGAAGCCACCCTAAGGATCTTCCTTTAATTTCTTTGGAGTAATACTATACCATACTGGTCTTTGCTTTTAGTAATAAAACATCAAATTAGGTTTGGAGGGAACTTTGATCTTCCTAAGAATTAAAGTTGCCAAATTATTCTGATTGGTCTTTAATCTCCTTTAAGTCTTTGATTTATATTACTTGTTATTAAATGGAACGCATTAGTTGTCTGCCCTTTCCTTTCCATCCCTTGCCCCACCCATCCCATCTCCAACCTTAGTCTTCCATTTCCTCCCGCCAGTCTCCATTGAATCAATGGTGCAGGACAGAAAGCCAGTCAGACTAATTTCCTTCTTTCCTTGCACTTCTCCCCACTTGTCATCTTTTAACTAGTCTTTCACAAGGATCCTCTGAAACTCCCTCTGTGCCCCAAGCACAGATCCCATTACTTCTGCTTTCATATCTCCTCAGGCAAAAGTGGAGGGTGCCTTTTGGGCTCTTATAGGTTGTCTCTGCATACAGGAACCTAACCCAAATTTGTTTTGGTGCCAGAAAAACTGAGCTATATTTGAACAAAGTTATTGTGCAAACTGTACTGTGAACAACAGTCGGCTTAAAATACGAGGGGCAAGGAGGAGGATGCATTTCAAAAGCCTGATTGATGTGTTTAGAGCCAAATTAAGAGGAGTTTTCAGATCAAAAATTGGTTACCATTTTTTGTCAGAGTGTCTGATGCAGCCACTCATTCGGCTCTCCAGAATTCCTAGACTGGGTTAATAGGGTCATATTGTGAATGCCTCACTACAAAATGACTTGAGTCCAGTGAAATCTCATTAGGGTTAAGAATATTTCAGGGATCCTTTAATGTTTTGATTTTTGTTTTCTGAAATTGGATTTTATTTTATTTTATCTTATAATTTCAGTTCATCTAAACTGTGTGTTCTGTACATGTGATGTTTGACTGTACCATTGACTGTTATGGAAGTTCAGCGTTGTATGTCTCTCTCTACACTGTGGTGCACTTAACTTGTGGAATTTTTATACTAAAAATGTAGAATAAAGACTATTTTGAAGATTTGAATAAAGTGATGAAGTTGCATTACACCTCACTGCAAGGATTCTTTACTTAGCTTGTTTTTAGACTTCTATATCTTTATATCCCATCTAAAATTCAGCCAGGTGCTGCTGCTGCTGTTTCCTTTGATAAAGCTTTGAAATAAAGGCAGGAGTATAAGCCTAAGACTTGACCATTTTCATGAATTCCGTTCCAGATGTTCAACTTTTCATCATTTTACTTCCTAACCTCTTTCAAATTCTGGAATTTAGGACCTAAACTTAGAAATGAGGGAACCATTGATTCTCCCAACTTCCTCTAAAGTTTGGCTTGAAAATGTTCTGGTATAGCAATTTGTATACGTTCAGGATGACCTTCAGTTTCTCCAGTGCTCTATGTGGAGAACTACTGAAAACTCATGGAATCTAGGCTGCCAAGATAGATTCCTCAGCTTATTTATTTATTTTGAGACAGGGTCTTGCTCTGTTGCCTAGGCTGGAGTGCAGTGGCACAATCTTGGCTTACTGCAACCTCTACCTCCCAGGTTCAAGTGTTTCTCCTGTCAGCCTCCTGAGTAGCTGGGATTACTGGCACCTGCTAATTTTTGTATTTTTAGTAGAGAAAGAGCTTCACCAGGCCGGGCGTGGTGGCTCAAGCCTGTAATCCCAGCACTTTGGGAGGCCGAGGCGGGTGGATCACGAGGTCAAGAGATCGAGACCATCCTGGTCAACATGGTGAAACCCCGTCTCTACTAAAAACACAAAAAATTAGTTGGGCATGGTGGCATGTGCCTGTAATCCCAGCTACACAGGAGGCTGAGGCAGGAGAATTGCCTGAACCCAGGAGGCGGAGGTTGCGGTGAGCCGAGATCGCGCCATTGCACTCCAGCCTGGGTAACAAGAGTGAAACTCCGTCTCAAAAAAAAAAAAAAAAAAGAGGAGAAAGGGCTTCACCATGTTGGCCAGGCTGGTCTCAAACTCTCATCTCAAGTGATCCACCCGCCTCGGCCTCCCAAAGTGTTGGGATTACAGGCATGAGCCATCACACCCGGCCAGATTCTTCAGCTCTTGGTCTTACCTTGGCTGGGTTTGAGCTTGGACAACGGAGGCAATTCATTAAAACTTAAAAGGAGATCTAGCTTAATTCCGAAGTGAACAATATCTGACGAGCTAATAATTTATACCAAAATGTGCCTTTTAAACATAACTCATTTTGAGACTAAGCAAAATCTAAGAAGCCTCTTGGCTTGATTCTGAGGATATATTGGGAAAGGTTGTAGGTTGATTTTTCCTGGTTCCCTCTGTATATACGTAGATGGGATTCTGGGAAATTCTGGCCCTTGCCAATATGGAGGCTTAAACCAACTCATTTCCCAGGGTACATTTCTAATGACGTTCCTCTGGGACAAGCTTCCCTGTACCATCTTTTTCTCAAACCCCTGAGATCTGAAAACTTCTAGAACTTCCCTAGGGTTCTTATTGTTTGGGAGAGAACATATGCAAAGGAGTTAAATAGGGAAAATAAAATGTCAAAAATGTTATAAGTCAAAATCTAAAGGTATTCTTGCACATGAGAATCTCATTTCTGTAGCAATGAAAATTTTAATTTGGATAAAAATCACATAGGCATGAGGTTGCTGGGGAACGTAGAAAGGAGGGGCTCAGGTGAGGGTATGTAGCACATTTATCAGGAGGTAAGATCTCCATAGCTTCCTACCCCTCCTGGCCTGGCCTTTTGCTGTGGTATCCAGCCTCTGGGAAGAACTTGTATGGAGAGCATCTCTACTGGGGCTATCGGGTGACCAGGTAGGGGACAGAGTGGAGCAGCTGTTCATCTTAACTCTCTCTTTTCTCCAACCTGTGAAAAAAGATGACTGGGCACATATTCAGATGTCCCCTGGTATAGTCCCACCTTGTTGGCCAGCTGCAAACTGCCAGCTCTAATAAGAGGGCCAGGTTAAAGACACCAGAAGCAGCTTTCTCCACATCCCTGGTCCCTGGAGTCAGTGATGTCAGCATTTGGGACTGCGACCTGGCTGGAGCTTGGATTTGCCCACATCAATCAATGCTTCTCCCTGGCTTCAGAGAAAACTTTCTTATAATAAGCAGTCAATGAGTTAGTGCTGGAGCCAGGAATAAGCTCCTTGGGGCCTGGGAGTCATTAGATGAAATATTCCTCCTTCTCTCTGCTCTTAACCAAGTCACTTTCCATCTGGACAACGGCACTGGGCTCGCCTTCTGTAGGTTCATAGGTGACGTAGCTGCCTTTGTTCTTGTACAGGTAAAAGAAGATCAAGATCACGACCGAGAGCAGGATGAGGAAGACCACGGTGATAACAACTTGGAAAGGAGAGGGAAAATGTAGAGATGTTTCAGGATTGAGGATGTCTCAGTAATTCCTGGAGCCAACTGTTTAGATGATTTCCTCACCGTTTTCATAAAGATCGTCTTGTTTTTGTTAACTAGTGTCCACTTCCATCCAAACCCATGTTCTCCCACCAACCCTGATTTCCATGGCACATAACAGCTGGAGTCTCTTGGTGCTTAAGCTAAGGACATATGCTTTTGATTTCTGACAAAACTGAACTCCCTCCCAAACCAGTTCCTGATTCTTATGATAGAAACGGGAAGCAGGAAACAGGAAATAGCTTATCCTAAACAGGAAGTGGTTTCTCTGATCCTCCCCCTCTTTCCTCACCAACTCAACCAACCACGTATATCCTCGTCCCTACCCACATACTCGAGTGTAATGTCCGTATGCATATCTATTTGTGGCCACCTCCCAACCTATCATTTACTGGTAGTGCCTCTGACAGAACCCTCTCAGTCTTTTATAGCTGTGTGTGTGTGTGTGTGTTTTAGATAACTTACAAGCCTGAGTGAGCCCATTAATGGATTTGGTCAGGCTCTCTCTGGTGAGAGATGCCCTTGATCCACAAGGTCCCTTGGAGTTGGCTCAGAGTCTATTACCTGCAATGAGTGCTGTGCTGGCTCCATCTTCTGGGGACAGGGCTTCAGTGGGCCGTAAAATTGGGGTGATCACCAGTTCTGGAAAATTTAGAAAAGCGGAAAAGGAAATGGAGAGAATTCTTTTGTTTGAAAGCGTTATGTTTGGCCTTCAAATTTCACCACCCCACCTTCTCTATTCATAAGTTTATCATTTAACTCCTATAGTAAATCCAAATAGAAAATCCTGGAGAATGGAGGAGAAAATAAACCACCATCCAAAGACAAGATGTGGCTGGATTTCTCCCTGAATAATATAGTGGTTAAGAGCAGGGGGTATAGAGCCTGCCTGACTGGGTTTCACATATGAACTCTGTCCTTTACTAGCTGTGTGACCTTGGGAAAATTACCTAACCTCTATCTGCAAAATGGAGGTAACGACCTACTTTAAAGAGTTGTTGTGACATTGAATAAGCCATTATTAGGAAGGCATATTTCTACATAAGTGAGATCAAATGAGATGTACATGTACATATAGATTATATAGCATGTACATATATTTAGATTATATAGCATGTGCATTTTCTTGGAGCATTCTTACAAGCTCTTTGTAAACATTATTTTAACATAATGAAATCATGCTCCTCTCCTATTAAAAACCTTTTTCTACTCTTTCAGGATAGGCCCTGCAATTTGAAAGGTTCTGAAACAGGCCTCTCCCTTACCCTAAAATAGATCCTGTACCCTCTCCTGCTATGGGTTTATTTTTCCTTCAGAACGTGAAAGTCCCACCCTAAAGTCATACCCAGGGACAGAACAGGACAAAATGAGTGCTCTCCAGAAGTCCCTTTTAAGTGTTTACACAGGAGGTCAGGAAGCCCTTCCGTTCTTTCCTATTAGCATTTTAATGTAGCGGTTACTGCAGGATAGAGGTCTCCTGGGGAAAAGCGGCTGGCTGACCCTGGCATCACCCACAGGAGGCACCCGGACCTGACTGGCATCCCATAAATAGCAACACTCACCCACTGTCTCCTCTTTGCTAGGCCCTGTGCTAGATGGAACGTCGAGCAAAACAGACATGGGCCAGCTTCCTGGGCTCGCCCTCCACTGCACCCCACAGCTTGCACAGTAAGGAGCTGCCGTCAGTGCACTTAGGAAAGCGTGTGGCTGGCCAAGGGGCCTTATTCTAGTCTTCCAGCCAGGAGTGACCTCCCCAGGGAGGAATATCTGAGCTGGGAGCTAAAGCAGGGATAGGAGTTTACTGGGTAACAGGGATGCGGCAGATTCTAGGCAGAGAAGAGCCTGGGTCGAAGCTGTGAGATGGACTGAAAGGCCAGCATGGCTGGAGCAGAGTGAGCATGACTCCTGTCCAGTGCCTGACACATTCAGATTTCCATCCTGAGCAAGTGAAATGAGGGCATCGGCAGTGGTCTGGTGGGCCGTGCTAAGAGGCGCCAAGAGTGTTGAGGGGTCTCTCCGCATGGGCCCAGGGGACCCTGATGAACCATCCTGGTCCCACAATAGAGAAAGCAGAGGCAGGCTGTCCAGGGTGCTTCCCCCTCCCAGGGCCAGGCCAAACCTTTCTCCACTGATCCCCACTCTTTGTCTAGGAATGGTGGTACCTTCAGCCACTCTGTGGTCTTGGGCAAATGGTTATTGTGGTGTTTTATACACACACACACACACACACACACACACACACACACTCACTCTCTCTCTCTCTCTCTCTCTCTCTCTCTCTCTCTCTCTCCAGGTTTTTATCCACAGTTCCTGGCTCATAATTCCCACAGACCCTGTCAGTCTTGTGTTATGATGTGGGTGTATCAGAACACAGGAGTGGACCTCAGGAAACAGAATCTCTCCAGCCTTCTCCTGCCCTCCCTTCACTTGCCCCAAGGCAGGACTCTAATCTTCCCCTGCCTTTCCAATGGTGGGTCATAAGATCCTCATTCCAGAGGGAGAAATTGGGAAAGGAATGCTGACATCATGAAGCTTCCATTAAAAAGTTAAGAGGACGGCTGGGCACAGTGGCTCACGCCTGTAGTCTCAGCACTTTGGGAGGCTGAGGTGGATGGATCAGGAGTTTGAGGCCAAGACGGTGAAACCCCATCTCTACTAAAAGGACAAAAATTAGCCAGGTAGGGTGGCGGGCACCGATAATCCCTGCTCCTCAGGAGGCTGAGGCAGGAGAATTGCTTGAGCCTGGGAGGTGGAGATTGCAGTGAGCCAAGATTGCACCACTGCGCTCTGGACTGGGTGACAGAGCAAGACTCCATCTCCAAAAAAAAAAAAAAAAAAAAAAAAAATCCAAGAGGACTGGGCTCAGAAAGCTTCAGCATGGCTGGGCAGGGTGGCTCATACCTGTAATCCGAGCACTTTGGGAGGCTGAGGTGGGTGGATTTCCTGAGCCCAGGAATTTGAGACCGGCCTGGGAAACATGGCAAAACCCTGTCTCTACCAAAAACACCAAAAAAAGAAAAACAATTAGCCAGGTGTGGTGGTGTGCACCTGTAATCCCAGCTACTTGGGAGGCTGAGGAATGAGAATTGCTTGAACCCAGGAGCGGGAGGTCATGAGCCAAGATTGTGCCACTGAACCCCAACCTGGGTGACAGAATGAGATCCCATCTAAAAACAAAAACAAACCCCAAAAAACAACTAGTGGAACATGCAGAGGTTCCTGAAGGATGGTGCACCCAGGGAGGGCATGGAAGCTCCGCCTCCTTCCCCATACTCACCCTAGACATGTCCTCATTTGTATCCAATGTAATATCCTTTATAAAAAATCAGTAAACACATTGTTTCCCTGAGTTCTGTGAGCCACTCCAGCAAATCAATTGAACCCCAAAGCTGGCGTTAGCAAGGCTGGGAACTCCAACTTGAAACTGGTTGGTCACAAAATTTGGAGGCTGAGACTTGTGACTAGTGTCTGAAGGGAGGCGCAGCCTTGGGGACCCAGCCCTCAGCCCTCAGTGTTTGTCACTATCTCCAGATAGTGTCGGAATTGAATGGGAAGACGCCCATTTGGTGTCTGCTGCGGAACTGATTGCTTGCTGGTGCAGAGAAATTCTCAAATATTTAGGGGTCACAGAAGTCTTCTATGTTGACTGTTGTGTTGTGAGAACCGAGGAAAAATGATTTTAGAGTTTGTCTGAAACAGCTATACATAATGTGTTTTAGATGGAGTCTCTCGCTCCATTGCCCAGGATGGAGTGCTGTGGTGTGATCTTGGCTCACTACAACCAATGCCTCCTGGGCTCGAGTGATTCTCCTGCTTCAGCCTCCTGAGTAGCTGGGATTACAAGTGTGTGCCACCATGTGCAGTTAATTTTTGTATTTTTAGTAGAGATGGGGTTTGACCATGTTGGCCAGGCTGGTCTTGAACTCTTGGCCTCAAGTGATCCACCAGCCTTGGCCTCCCAAACTGCTGGGATTACAGGTGTGAGCCACTGTACCTGGCCTATACATTTTGATTTATTCATCCATTCTCATCTGTTACCCATAGGAACTACATTAACCAACACTGAAGGTCTACTGTGAAGATTAAATGAGAGAACATGTAAACAACATATAGTAGCTACTACTTAAATATTATTTAAGGTGACTTTGTTCATATGCTTAGCAATTAAAAGGAAAAGCTGGCTAGGCACAGTGGTTCATGCCTGTAATCCTAGCACTTTGGGAGACCAAGGTGGGAGGGTTCCTTGAGGCCAGGAGTTTGAGACCAGCCTGGGCAACACAGCAAGTCTCTGTCTACAAAATATATATATATATTTATATATATGCATTAGCCAGGTGTGGTAGTATGTGCCTGTAGTCCCAGATACTCATGAGGCTGAGGTGGGAAGACTGTGTGAGCCCAGGGGGTTGAGGCTACAATGAGCCAGCACTGCGCTACTGCATTCCAGACAGTGAGACCCTGTCTCAAAAAAACAAATAAAAGGGAGAGTTGCTCCGGGTTTGAATCCTGCCTAAGCATATGACTAGGTGACCTTGAGGAAGTTACTAAACCTCTCTGAACCTGTTCCTTTTTTTTTTTGGTAGAGACAAGGATCTCACTATGTTGTCCAGACTGGAGTTCAATGGTACAATCTTGGCCCACTGCAGCCTTGACCTCTTGGCCTCAAGCAATCTTCCTGCCTTGGCCTCCCAAAATGCTGGAATTACAGGCGTGTGCAACCACGCCTGGTGGTAACCTCAGTTTTTTGATCTGTGAAATGGGAGTGTGGTGTACAGCTTCTAAGATGGCTCACAATGATTTCTGCCTCCTGGTATCGACACCCTTGTGCATGCCTCTCCTCTTGTATACAGGTTGAACCCAGTGACTTACTTTTTTCGAGATGGAGTCTTGCTCTATCACCCAGGCGGTAGTGCAGTGGCACGATCTTGGCTCACTGCAACCTCAGCCTTCCAGGTTCAAGTGATTCTCCTGCCTTGGCCTCCTGAGTAGCTGGGACTACAGGCACGTGCCACCATGCCCAGCTAATTTTTGTATTTTTAGTAGAGACAGGGTTTCACCATGTTGGCCAGGATGGTCTCTATCTCTTGACCTCATGATCTGCCCGCCTCAGCCTCCCAAAGTGCTGGGATTACAGGTGTGAGCCACCATGCCTGGTCATCCAGTGACTTGCATTTAATAGACTATGGCAAAAATGATGGCATGTAACTTCTGAGATTAGGTTATACAATACTGTGACTCCCATTAAAGAGAAGCCCTGAAGTTTATCTACCTGGTCATGACTTCACACTTCTCACCATGCATGACTTCGCACCTCTCACCATCCTCCCCAAAATCTCCCAGGGCTGCACTCCATCTTTCTACCCTTGATCCAGAGTTCTATACAGTTGTTCCTAGTTTTGTTTTCTTTAAACATTTGAGAATTTAGGATGTACAAAGCATTGAGAACATTAATGTATGTCAGAAGCTTGAAGATAAGTAATTTCTGTTCAATTATCAACAATAATTTACTTTGTACATTAGGCTGAGTGTGGTGGCTCATGCCTGTAATCCCAACCCTTTGGGAGGCAGAGGCAGGAGGACTGCTTGAGGCCAGGAGTTTGAGACTAACCTGTACAATATAGTGAGACACCATCTCTATTTAT